TGAGAAGAGGCTTGAAAGGCAGCAGGGAGCTCCAAAAGGGGAGGAAGGGACGTGAGCGGAAAATGAACTTTCCTCAGGACTCCAAGCTGTTCAACGGCAGGGAAGGGCCATCCCGGCACCCGCCCTGCGAGGCAAAGCAGAGACTTGCCAGTGAAGGTGCCAAGGTGTGCTGTGAGCAGGTCTCCCGGTGCCAAGGGCCTGCGGGCTGCAGAGCTGTTCCTTTGGCCTCGGTCACTGATGGCATATGAAGCGGACCTTATGCCCACAGCCTGGACGAGAGGCTCTGGCACGGGCACACACATGCTGGGGCAAGCGGCCCTGGTTGGCAAGGGAGGGGAGCCAAGCCTTCGGGGAGCGCGCACAGGAAGATTCCACAACAGCCACTGGGCCACGGGGAAGCAGCTCGTTTGTGTTTACTTTCAACTCCAAATGTTTCCCTTTCCACCCACACCATCACCTCTTCTTTTTAAGGAAGTGACACAAAGTACTAGACTTCACAGTGCCAGCATTGTCCACTTTGGGTCACAATACACGATCATGTACTGCAGTTACACAAAATCAAGGGCTAAGATGCTACTACTTATACCGGTTAAAAGGAACCTGACAGTCCAAATGAAAAATAACAACCAAAAATCTCTGTTGGAATCCAGAGATGCTTGACAATAGTATGAAAAAATAGAAACAAATCAAGAAGTGCGGCCAAAAAATTGCCCTCGCATGCTGCAGTTCATCGCCATAACTTCATAAATCCCCAGCTTTCCGAGGGAAAGAAAGTGCGTTTTCACAGCCTACAGTTTGCAGGGAAACAGCTTTCAAATGGATGCAGGTAAACAGAAAAAGAAACAAGAATGCAAAGGGGAAGCACCGAGATGGCTCGGTCGTCAGCAGGGTTTTTAGAAGCAGCCTTCACACTTCTCGCCATCCGTTATCCAGGTGTTGACACCAGAACCCGACAGGGGCGTGAGTCCAAAGCAGCCAGAGAAGAAACATCCAAATGTTAATAAGAAAACCACGAAGAACTAGAACAATTAAGACTTACATAGCTTTTCTACTCTACTTTGAAGTTGAATTACAGCTTTTCCTTTTTGGGATAGGAAAAAAGATACACGGCTGATCTGTGGGTCGAACACAACTTTCTTCCCCCCATGCCCACTCTTTGCTTCTGCTCCAGCACTTAAGAGTGGGATGCGGGCAAGGCTGGTCCTGTATCCTTGAAGGAGAAGGACCATTTCTTCTTCTGTGCCCATGCCTCTTCCTTTCTTTTAGACAATGAGGTATACTTTGAGATTAGCGATGCGCGTTCCTTCCAGGGCAATGGGCTAGATCAATAGTGTGGGCAGAAAACGATTCCACGTTCTGATAAAAATGACACACATAAAAAAGTTATTGCACTAAAATCAAACAAAACGAAACAACTCAACTTAGCCCAACCAGCATCTGGCCAACTGAACCCTCAAGAAGGGCAGGACTGGGTGCTCTTTGTAGAGCATCTTGACCTTTGAAGTGCTCCGTTGGATTTGGTCCATTATTACATGTCCAGAAGTGAAAGAGTCCAAAAGACACTGTAGGCTCTTTAAGGCTAAGTTTTCCTGGTGCTTCGGTGAGATAAGTTATCTCCTTGGCCACATAGTACACAGCGCAGGGGAGCGGTGCTAGCAATCTGACAGTCTAACAGGCTCCCCCCCAAAATTCTGGAAGCAAGGGAGGATGGGTGCACATCAAGTCTTCTCCTGTGAAAGAGAGAAAGATGGTAAACAGCCTGGACTAGCAAAGGTGCTTATCAACACCTCCAGGAGTGCAGAGACCTCCTCCCGACTCCGCCATCACCTCCCTACACACTCAGTCTCTCAGCACCCGTGTGAAGCCACACATCATTTTCTGACGGTCTAGATGTCTTCCCTCTCCCTAAAAAACTTCTTCCTGGCTGTTTTGTCTTCCTTTTGCCCTCTGTGCCCTCTTTGCTCACTCACGCTCTCCCTCCCGGGGTGGATGTAAGCGTTACATCCTAACCCTATCTTGCTCACATGTCACCTGCCTTTCAAGGTGCTCCTGGCCAGGATTTGAGAGCAAGGCATTACAGGCATTGCAAATGTTTTTATGAAGCTCTCTTTCTCTGGGTTTGAAATGAATGTCTATGTTGCTGAAGCTCCAGGCCCGTGAAGCTCCTCACAAAGTGCTCACATCACGGATGAGAACAGATTCCCACACCCTGTCTCAGTGTTGTCCGTACTATGTTATTCTTTCAGAGACCTGCTCCAGCGCACAATCTGCTGTGTAAATTTTGTATGACCCCTGTGAGCAACGAAACATTTACACAACTCCTCCTAGACCAATAGAGCTGGGTGGTCACATCCAAATATCAAAGGCATGGATCCAATTTTATACATTTAAGATTCAAGCTGGAGGGACTGGAGTTACAGTGTGAGTTGTGGGAATTTCTGCATGTTGTGACCACCAACCAAAAGGGTCTGAAGTTTTATGACCTACCACATGGTGTGTTGCTTCCTGTGGCCACCCCTGTGATGTAGGAAGCGGGGGGTTAAAGACCCAGTCAATGCAACTGCCCGGGGCTGCCCTCTGCTCCAGCCCTCACTGAGTTTAATCACACAGCCATGACTTGTGCTAACGTAGCCCGTGGTGGGCTTTTCCCTACTTACCCCTCCCCGTTCTGAGCTAGGACTTGCTGACATTCTCATAGATGACATCGCTGATGCAGAACTGCTGCTTCTTCTTCATCCACAGCAGCTGGACACACTGGTGGATAAAGATGTACTGCTCCTGAAGCCAAAGGCAAAGCACAGTTCAGAGCAAGAGCCTCTTTGGGCAAACATGCACGTCAATGTCAGCTTGTCATTCAGTGAAACACAGGAGAGCTGAAACTTGGTGGGACTGGCTTGTTTTTCTAGGTCTTATAAGTTTCCCCGCTGTGGCGGGGTACGGTCTTACCAATAGTTAATGTTTCCTTCTCTGACCCTTCTGCAGGTTCCAGGTTTCATTGTACTATGATTGTCATGATCAGGATATTTTGTGAAAGGGAACATATTTTTATTTTTTGTAAAGACACAGTTTTGCACTTAGAAGCTTCAAGAGAATCAACTGTGGAACAGGGACTAGGGCTCATCGCTAGCTAAAGGTAAAGGCAATGCATATTCAGTTGACACACTGGGGGAATATAATAGAGAGCCTTACCACACACTAAATACACCAGAAAGTGTAACCATGTCAGTCAAAGAAATAGAAAGGGAAATAGAGGCTAATTCTCCTCTGATCAGTTTGGAGGGCTATCTAATCTTAAAAAACAATGGGAGAAATTATGATCGAAATGGTCAATTGTAAAAGAAAGTTAAAAGAATAAAATAAAGGGCAACCTAGGAACTTGGAAACATCTCTTCTCAAATGATGACATGGGGATACCTTTATTCTGGTTAAAAACATATCCCCACCTGTATATCCACATCCAGTCTCAAACACACACTGAAACAGAAGTAAAATAGAGCTAGCACAAATATTCCTGGAGGGCTAGGTCCATGTATTTTTCACCCTAACACTTAGCACAGCAGTTCTTAACCTGTGGGTTGTGACCCCTTTGGGGGTTGAATGACCGTTTCACAGGGGTCACCTAAGCCCACCGAAAAACACATATTTCCGATGGTCTTAGGACCCGAGACACCGCTCCTCTATCCGTCTCTAGGTGGGTCTGCCCACATGCAGATACACCCATCTACGAGTACCCGGTGTGAAGACTGTTACCCTTGCTACACCATGCTTCAAGACAAAATTTCATTTGTCATTTGAAATAAATATTTCACAATATATAACGATATGTGTTTTTGTGATTAATCACTGTGCTTTCATTATGTTCAATTTGTAACAATTAAAATACATCCTGCATATCAGATATTTACATTATGATTCATAACAGTAGCAAAATGACAGTTATGAAGTAGTAACGAAAATAATTTTATGGTTGGGGGGTCACCACAACATGAACTGTATTAAAGGGTCGTGACATTAGGAAGGTTGAGAACCACTGACTTAGCACTTAATTTGTGCTTGTTAACTGTTGTTCAAATCCAGCTGAAGAAATATCAACAAGTAGCAAACACGCAAAAATAGCCCCCAGAGGTCCACATGTAGAGGAAACCGTTTCTGTTTCATCTCTGCAGAGAAGGAAGGAAAGAGCAACCCAGGCAGCGCTCAGGGATGACTGGAGCGTTGGAAGCCTTTCATCTATTGCTGGGAAGAGGGAGCGCGGTGGCACAGCGTGGGCACTGATGGGTTCCAGGTGCGCCCTGGGAGACCTGCAGGAGCAATCCACTCGTCCTGTCAGGTTGCCAGGAGTCACCATGGACTCGAGGGCCATTGGCATGGATTTGGTTTGCAGGGGAGAAAATGAATAAAATGCTAGTGATGGTGTGTGATTACAGATAATAGTCGAAAAACAAGAAAAAGAAACGAAACCAACTTAAATGTCCTAATGAGGAATGCCTTACGTAAACAAAGGCCCATCTATAAGGAAGCATTAATCAGCCCTTAAAAGGAGGCTTACAGATTTTTTTTAGGTAATTTGGTATAATAAAGCATTAAGTGAACAATTAACGTGGAAGACATGGATATATAGATAGCATGGAACAAAGCTATGTGAAAGATGTACTTGAATGATGGTTTTGAGGGAATATACCAAAATATTAAGATTATTTGTCTTTTGGGGATGAAATCAGTTCATGGTCTTTCTCTTTGTTTCCCAAAGTTCCTTTAAAATACGTACTTTTAATAGCGTATCCACAGGGCTTCAAAAGAGCCTGTTATGTAACTAGCTCCTGAAGAGATTAAGGTTAATATGCTAAACATCACAGGGCTGGCAGCTCAGCCTAACCTGGATTTTTCAATAATGTTTACAGAAAACACAGACCCTTATTTTTTGACAGAATCTCATCAGCAGCTGAGCTATTTCTTGCCCTGCTGTTTCACTCCACTGCCCAGCACTGGACGTAGAAATGTCCAGAGATTGTTAGGTTCTCAACCCATCACTCCTCCCTGGCAACAGTGGGCCAATCTTTGTGTCAAAAAACAATAAAAGTAGTCCGACCACAGGAAAAGTAAGTAACAGACAATGAGGAACAGCTCCCTGGGAGCCCAGAAATAATCCAGGCTGGAGATTCAGAGTTTGCTGCTCAAAGGAAGGCTTTCATTGGCCTTCAGGGAAAGGTTCTTAGAGGAAAACCAAGGGAGACATTTGGTGACAACGGAAGGGCAAACACCATCTTCGGTACGTGTCAAAGCACTTTATCTGTGAGCTACATGAGAGCTTTTCCTGCACCAGGTGAATTTACAATCCATGGAAGTTACCCATCGCATTTTACAGGTGGGGGCTGGGAGAAGAGATGTATGCAGAGGGCCTGCCTGGAGCTCAGACCTCCCTCCAGGGTGTGGCACTGTGAAGGCGACGTCTCCTTTTGTGATGGGCCACAGACATGTAAGGTCAGGTGACAAAGGGTAAAGAGGAACAATACAAGGACCCCGGCGTTACTTCTGCTGTCTTGAGAGTGAGCTGGCATGGGGAGGTCTGTAAGACGGGCATTCAGAGATGGCTGGGGAATCGGGAAGGGGCAGAAACGTGGCATTCACTTTGTGGGTGGTTTCCAGACACAGCTGGGAGATCAGTCAGCTAGAGCATCGGGATGGCTTCTGGCGAAACCACTCGTGTCAAAGGGATATTCTGTGATGATAACGGTGAATTCCCCTCCCCACCATTTGCCTTTGACTTCCTAACATGAGTAGACTAGCTATAAAGGGGAAGTCAAGTTAGAATTGGGATGGAAGGGCTCATGGAGGCTGGAGCATGGAAAGCAGAGGAATGCCGGGAAATAAAGGTAAGGGGACACCATGTTCTAGGAAAAACTAAGGAAACAGACATGAATAAATAACGAACTGGAAGACATCCAACGGCAAATCCCAAGGGACCTCACGGCTGCAGCTGGGACACTTGGGACAAAGAAGTAACCTGTGGTGACCTTTGCCCTCTTTGTGGACTTTGAATCCCCACAGGAGATCTCAGAGTTCTCACATCTATGAGAGATGATTGCCCTGGAGAGGTCAACTGAAAATGCTTCCGTCAACCAAGGAGGCAAACAAATAAAGCAACATTTGAGGCAAAGGAGGCAATCTGGACAAAATCTTTCCCCAGCTTTGCACAAAGCAACATTGTGGCTGCCCTAGTTTTGTGTGAGCAAAACTTCCAGAAGGATAAGGGACCTGGCAGGGGGGGATGAAGGGTTGTCGATATGAAGGTAATTTAAAACAACAACAACAAAAAAGGTTGACACTTCTATAAGTCAAAAGCAAACAGGCTATAATCAAAATCTATAAGGTCTAATTTAAGTGAACAGGACAGGTACTTCCTCACATCCAACATACTGAAAAGAAGGAGTGGCCCTTTGAAGCTTGGGAATTAATATACACCATGAGAAGTTTAATCACATATTAGGACATACATTTATGTAAGTCAAAGTCAAAGTATGGACCAATTAATAGATTGCTGTTTAATAACGAGCTAGAGGGGGATGTCTCTGAGAAACCAGAGCACTTTAAATGTAGCATAACAAGATTCAGCAGTCAATTCGAAAGCAGCAGGGTTGGATTGTGAGTGAGCCCAAAACAGAGGAAACAAACACAGGACCTTGCTTCCTCATCAGAAAAGAGAACTCGGAATGTGCAGGATTCACCCTGCTTAGAGTGGAGCCGTCCTGTTCCAGCTCAGAAATAAACACACTGGAAGGATCCTGCTGAGCCTCTTGGTCACACGGGAATGGGGAGGAAGGAGGAGACAGGAGTGGGAAAAAAAAAAGCTGTAAGATGCCTCAATAAAGTGATCTTAAAAAGAAGTTGGGAAGAACTCCAAGGAGCCTGCAGCCATGACCCGAGGCTTTCTGAGTCATGGTGACACCTAGTGGTGATGCTTAGGGAGAAAGCACAAGGGTGCCCAGAGCCAGGTGGGAATCCCCTGGAAATTCAGTAGGAGGTCGGGTCAGGTTGGGTTCCACTCCACCAGCTTTCCTCCCACACACACCCTTGACGATAAGGATGATTGTGTGCCCAAAGCTGGAACGCCGAGAGTAAGGCTGATTGACCAGGATTCGGAACAAGCTATTGTATACTAAGGTGCTTGCACCCACATGGTGCTCGAAGGCCCTGAAACATTGTGGGTTGGCTCTCGCCTGGGCCTGGCACTCCAGTCTGAATAACGAATTGCAAGGCTCTAGAGGAAGAGAGGACCCAGGAAGAGATGAGGATGAGAGTGGCCCTAACACTGCTTCCAGATGATTACAACGAGAAATCCGTTTATTGAAATCCAAGGGGGTTTGAAGAACCAGTGAGCTAGGAGGGTGGGGATTCATACAAGTAGTGAGAAGTCATGACCACCCTGAAAAGTGAGTTGTGCCGGAGAGCTGTGTGGAGGATCAACTTACTGAATCAAAGCCAGCTTTATGGAGATCAACTCAATGACAACACCCCACCCCCACCCCCACCCCCCTCACCGCCCAATTTCTATTTGAGGCTTTACCGGTGGTGGCTGTTAGCTTCCTCTAACGCTGAGTCCCTGTAAGGCTGATTAAGTTTTATGGATGAGTGCTTTGGATTACTTAAAAGATCTACGAGGCCAGTCGAAGTGCAGCTGCTACATAAGGAATGGGCTGCGAGCGCGCACTATCTATTTTACCGCCGGAAAACAACTGGAACATGCGCAATCAGGAAGAGGGGCGGGCAGATGCAAACACACCCGAGACCATGGTTCTGAAGCACGGGGTTGAATCATGGCACGTTTTTCAGTCCAGGGCAATGACAAATATATATACATGGACGACGCTCCTACCTCTGTCTGTACCATAGACATGCGGTATGACCTCATGTCCGACACCAGCCCTAAGATGTCCACAAACTCATGGTCCCGAATGTGCTGCAGGAGCCTGTCCAGGGCGATGAATGTCCCCGTGCGTCCCACGCCGGCGCTGCAAGACAGAAGGGCATACACCACTTGACTCACTGCTCGCAGAGGTGGCGCCATAGCCAGGGAAAGACGAGTAATGCCCTGGCAATGTCTTTAGCAGGTTTCCGAGCATGGGGTTGCAATAGGCGCTTCTTCTAATCTGTCATTTCTCATGTCACCTTGCCTAAAAGGAGATGAACTTGGGCCACGTCCTCCCCTGGGCACTCTGCTTGCTGAGGGGAGCGATCCTTC